GAGGCGTCGCCGAGGGGATTGTCCGAGGATTTTCTAGAAACGGACCGTGGGAAGTCGACGGGCTCGTCTGAATGGCTGCCGCGAACTCCATTTTTCCAGAAGCCAGTCAAGCAGAGTCTCCAGGCGTCCCCTCCTCTAAAAACACCAGGGATTAAATTCACTTCTCAATATCCCCCTTAAGTCCACAGTATAGCTTTTAATGCACCCTTATTTCTCTGAAAAAAAGCAAACACACGTGGAAATGAAAAACTGGAATCTAAAAATAAAATCCGTACTTAATACACAAACTAAATATACCCCAGGTTTTCCCGTGGCTACATTAATTCAATGAAATCTAATTCCGGCCGCTCCTCGGTGTTGAATAAAAATGAGGATCTCCACGCACTTCGCATTGTGTTTCAGCAGCTTTCTCAAGACTTAGGGGAAGAAATGCTAGTTGTTCGGCTCCTTACATAAGACCTCATGCTCTGTGAAGTGTCCGGAGGAGAGATTACTTGAGGGTGACAGGTAACGGCATTTATTTTTAGCTTCTTCCTCTCCTGTTGCTACCCCCAAAGTTTCTGTCCTGACTTTGTACCTTTTTTTTTTAAACCAGCCACTTTTTTTTTTTCATTGATTTCAGAGAGAGGGAGGGAGAGGGAGAGAGAAACATCAGTGATGAGAGCCATCGATCGGCTGCCTCCTGCGCGCCTGCTGCTGGGGATGGAGCCCGAAACCCGGGCCTGTGCCCTGACCGCGAATCGAACCAGTGACCTCCTGGTTCATGGTTTGATGCTCAACCGCTGAGCCACACTGGCCAGACTAGACTTATTTTCTGTGTGAGTCTGGACTCCACGCGGCTGTGCCGACTGCACCCGCGGGAGCACACTCGGGGAGCAAATGGCAGAGTCAAGACGTAACTGGAAGGAGCCCCGTGATGATCGGGTGTAAAGCTATGCTCCAAAAACCCCTTTCTTCTTGTATATGGTGCCATCATCATTAGCAAAATAATATTCCGACAGAATGTGTCGCTGGATCATTTCTCCGAGCTGATACTGATTTCCTTATCGATTGCTTCTGTCAAGGTTTGGAGGAAGCAGGTGCAAAGGGAACCAGTGCCGGCGATTTCCTGCTCCGAGGCCACCCTGGGGGAGTGAGCAGAGCCGGGTCTCCCCAGGTCAGGGGGACGTGAGCTGTTGGTGTTTTCACTGCAGGAGATCACGCGTTCATAGAAATCCCGCAGCACTTGCGCGGTGGGTGCACCGTTACCCGCTTCCCCCTTCCCGGGCCGTTTTAACACTAGCTCCCCATCTTCTCCTCCGGTGGCCCCACCCTTCCGACGGCAGCAGCTCTTCCGTGTGCTGCAGGTCCCAAAGTGACGGCCTGAGTACTTGACTCTTTTATTCACTGTTATCACGTCTCAAAAATTCTCTCGGCCCGGCCCGCGTGGCTCAGCAGTTGAGCATCTACCCAGGATCCAGAAGTTCGCGGTTCGATTCCTGGTCAGGGCATGTGCCGAGGTTACGGCTCGAACCCCAGTCGGGGGCTCTCAGGAGGCAGCTGATCACTGACTCTCTCATCATTGATGCTTCTGTCTCTCTCCCTCTCCCTTCCTCTCTCTGAAGTCAATAAAAACACATATTAAAAAGTATATATCTTGGACCCTCCTGCTCTCGTTTTCTGTAGAGAACACCCAGGTGTGGCTTGTAAGCTACGGCTTCGGCAGCTCCAAACATTTAATAACGTTCCAGACAGGAAATATGTGATTTTCCCCATTGCTCTCCGATTTTCTCTGCAGTCTGCATTCAGATGTTTTCGTACATGGAGAGGTTTTTATTATCATCACATATTGCAGCTTTAAGACCTCTGTGCACATCTCTCTCCCAGGAATTTAACTGCCGAGCGTTTCCTCTGTGCTGTCTGTGAGCCACACACTCCCAGGATTAGAGCCTATTTTCTAATCTCATTTAAATTAAAACGCTGACATTACATTCCAGGGGAAAATAAAGGACCGTGATTTTCACAGAAAAATATGATACGGAAACACATTTGCCATGAAACTGTACCTTCCTGGGCGCGAGGTTTCTGGGGGAAATGTATTAAAATGCTGGTGGGTGAAGTCAACACCAGAAAAGAGAGACATTCTTTTTTTAATTTTTTTGTTTTGTTAATCTTCGCCCAAGAATATTTCTTCCGTTGATTTTTTCAGAGAGAGTAGATGGGAGGGAGGGAGGGGAGAGGTAAAAACGTGTGTGGAGAGAGACATGGGTCGGTTGGCGCCTGCGCTCGCCCTGACCAGGGCTGGAACCTGCAACCCAGGTGCGTGCCCTTGACCGGGAATCAAACCCGAGACCCTTTGGTGGGTGGGCGACGCTCTAACCACGGACCCACCCAGCCAGGGCAACCGTTTCTTTTTTTTAAAGTCTACACATCACATGTCAACGAGCCACATACAGAGCTGAAGAAAAGCTGTTGGGAGACACGTCGGCGCCTGGCTATTAATTCCCACCCTCTGTTCGCATCGGTTATTTCCCCAGCCGTGGTGTTGGCCACCACTGCGCCGAGGAAGGGGTCGCCCAGGGGTCGCTGCTCGGCCGGCTTCCTGACAGAGGCTCCTGACTGCTGTCTCCGTGTCCAGCTCCGTCCTCCGCTGCCCACGTGGGAAACCCCCAGGCTGCGTGTCGCCCACGAGGAAGACGAAGGAGTAGGCCTGGGCCAGTGTGCCGCTCTTCACACTGCGTGGAACTGGGCATTTTCTTACATATGCACTGAAGAGCCCAAAATTCACTCTGAGAAACGTTTCTTCTCCCTTTAGTGTGTTGAGTGACCTGCCTGAGCCCGAATGCCGATTCCCCGGCTTCACTGCGTCGGCGGGGAGGCCACAGGTCCTGGGCCCGAGAGGGCGGCTTTGAGGAGAGACGGGTGTGGTTCGTGCTCGGGCCACGTCCAGGCGTGAGGGGGACCTCTCTGAGCTGCAGTTGCGTCAGCTGCGGATTGAGGATTAGCTTAGATCTGTAGGGAAAGGACCTGGCCCCCGGTGGGACCTCAGTCCGTTTTGCGGGAAGATGGTGTCATAGGACAGCCGTGTCCGCACTGTGTTCTGTCCCGTCATGCCCACTTCTGAGCATTCCCTAGACCGAGGCTTTGGAGATAAAATGAGTCTCAGAGATAATAAAGGGAATAACTGGGAAAGAAAGGCCTGGCCTTGCATGTACCAGCTTCCAAAAACACCCACCACCCACTCAGCTCTTTGATTGGAAAACTGATTCTGCAGCCAGCAGCCAGCGTCTGAGTGGATGGTTAGAGCTGAAAGGACCAGTTTTGGACACACAGTCTTCCCCCTAATCATGTGCCTGGACACGGTGCCCTAGGATTAGCATCTGCAGCCCTCCCTGGGTGCATTTCTCATTGGAACCCTTTTCAATAGAATGAGTGGCATGTGAGTTGGCGCCTCCCTCAGTGGGCGGGACAATTCGAGGCCCAGCAACCAGCCTTGTAGGCTGAAAGGCGGGTGCTTCTCAGATATTATCTCAGGGAATCTTCCCCCATCCTTACTGTAAAACGAAGCACAGTTTTTCTCACAAGAAAATGAAGGCTTGCCCAAGGTCAGCGGCACGCCTGGACCGTGGCAGAGAAGATTTTCGGACGGATCTGTCTAAATGCAGTCCTCCTGTTCCCCACGTAGGTAGGTCTGCCACCTGGAATCTGTTTCAATTAACTGAGAAATGTGTCTAAGTATTTCCTCAGCTACCAGGTTAATGTACTGTATTCTCACTGTCCAAGCCTGGTAGCCCGGCGTGGATTTAAAACTAAAAAGGAAGAGTCAGTAATGCACTTTGTGAGCTCAACAGGACAGTTAAAAATCGTGGCACATATTTCTCATTTTCTTCCCCATTTTTAATGCTTTTTTCCCGTCAGAGCCATGGTGGATTTTGTGGAGATAAGACTTGGTCTCTGTTATCTGTCAGCTCCTCGTTTTTCATGCAGCTCTGGAGATCGGAGGGATGTCTGTGGGAAAGCAGATAGCTTACTCTACGAACCTGCACACACAAGTGACAATTCAGACTCATTCGGTGTCACTCGGAGGGTCATGGCTTACGCTGTTAATGCCGTAATAAAGTTTTTAAAATCTCTGGGTTGATCTCCTTTGAAGGCTCTGAAACTGTTTCCTTAAAGAGAAGGGGGAAAAAATCATGTCCCAGCCCCACCTGGTGTCCACTGAATAAAAGTAGTTTCTTCCATGAGAAATGTAACTCAGACCTCAGCCTCGTCTTGTTTTGTGCTGCGTGTGGGCATGTCCTCCGGTGCCCCCTTCACACCTGGGCTCTGGAGGTCTTCCCGCTGCTGGGATTAGGTGGTGCCTGCCGGTCCTGCCCACCAGGCTCTGGAGTCCCTACGGGGGAGAAGCTGCTTCTCACAGCATTTGTATTCTGAGCCGGCGACCAGATGATGTTTAATGAGATTTTTATAAATACTTTTTCTGAAAACAATAATGTATGAGCTTAAAATGTGCTTAAATCCAGAAGAAGCTGGTAATCAGGCATGTGTGTGTGTACATTTTTTAATATCCTAAACTCTCCCTAAAACCCAGTCTGTGAGTGAACACACTCCACTTTGTAGCTGCAATGCCCGGGTCACCTCCTCTCAATCACTCAGTCCTCCCTGAGGCTGGGTTTTAGCAGAAGGCCTCCCTCTAGAACACGTGATCCTCCCTCTAGAACACGTGGTCCTCCCTCTAAACATATAGTCCTCCCTCTAGAACACATGGTCCTCCCTCTAGAACACGTGGTCCTCCCTCTAGAGTACATGGTCCTCCCTCCAGAACACGTGGTCCTCCCTCCAGAACACGTGGTTCGCCCCTTCTAGAACATGTGGCTTCCTGCTAGAACACATCTTCCTCCCTCTAGAGCACATGGCCCTCCCTCTAGAATACATGGTCCTCCCTCTTGAACACATGGGACTCTCCCATAGCATCTGAGACTCTGAGTGTGAAACCCTGTCTCTCTTCTCTCTCCCACCAGATCTCGAGAACTTCCAAACAAGAGCAAGAAGCACAGTGTCAGTGCGCCAAGGCCAGGGCATGGTGCTGCTGTGCGGACCGCCCGCCCACTCCGGAGGTGAGTAGACCCCACTACATGCACCCACCAGTGCACCCACTATATGCGCTCAGTTCTTGCTCATGGTCCCCCTCTGGGCACCAGCTGCAGGGACAGTGTCATCTGTAGACATCCCCAGAGGGCCTCTGTGCCAAGGAAGCGTCATTCTTGATGCCTCCCTCCCATAGTAGAACAGGAAAACGTCAGACCGTGCAAAAGGCCTGCCCATGGCTGTCCCCTGCCTCAGAACTAGATTCTATTTTTGGTACAAGTTGGGTGGGACGCCCAGGACTTTCCTGGCTGGATGGGTTAGCAGGTGGCCTTGCTTCGCTTCATCTCCTTGCTGGCCTGGGAGGGGTCAGACCCAGAACCCAAGTCCTGTGACCGTGGAATCCAGGGTCATTTCGTAAAGACTCGGGCTACCTACCCAGGTCATCGGGAATGCATTTCCCCCGGTGACTGACAACCTGGCTCCTGTGGCTTCAGTAACCGAGCGTGCGTTCTCACTCATGTTTCTGGAGGTTCGTGGTCTGAGCTGACTCCTTGGTTCTTTCAGACCCAAGCCTTCTCTCCGATCCTCTCTGCTCCCGAGCATGAGGTCGCACGGCGTGGCCGAGGTGCCGAGTGTGGGATCGGATGGGAGGAAATGGGAAGAGGCCGGGACAGGAGCTCAGTCCCCACACTTCATTGTGTCTGTATTGGGAAGCTTTGCTTTGCCAAGGACGGTTCCCTGCGTGGCATTGATCACCCCCAGGGGCAAAGGACACCAAAAAATAAAGTATTTTATAAAATACACGGTGGCCCTGAAACATATTATCATTTGTTACTAAGGGGGACTGTGGTGAGTTGCTGCGTAGATAGCTACTGGCTCCTGCTCCAAGGCCCCATGCATCTGAGAGGCAGATCTGACACCACAGACAGACCTCGAGTGTGCAGGGCTGACAGGCGTGCAGAGCTCATAGGTGTGCAGAGCTCATAGGTGTGCAGGGCTGGCAGGTGTGCAGGGCTGACAGGTGTGCAGAGCTCATAGGTGTGCAGGGCTCTCAGGTGTGCAGGTCTCATAGGTGTGCAGGGCTGACAGCTGTGCATGGCTCACAGGCAGGGGCATTTATCAGGGTTTTATTAAAGTCTGTGATGACAGATGGATAAACTCTCTCCTTGGACCTTCTGGCTAAAGTTCAATTTGATACCTGCTACTTGTTATGGCCTTAACTTTCTATTTGGCGCAACGCATGATTTAAAAAGAAACTATTTTAAAAGTAGCTTTTGAAAACACCCTTTTATTTTCATTCTGTATTCAAAACTTTTCACTTTTCCTTTCTCATCTACTGGCCCAGCTCTCATTTCCAGCAGGACGTAAAAATCAGCAAAATAAGTAAAGGTTCCCGCTTCAAGCAGGATGAATGTAAAAGCAGGTGGGAGGCCCTGGCTGGTGTGGCTCAGCCGGGTGATCGTCATCCCGGGGGCCAAACGGTTGCTGGTTCGATTCCCGGTCAGGGCACATGCTGGGTTGCAGCTCAGTCCCCAGGAGGGGGCGTGCAGGAGGCAGCCGATCAATGTTTGTCTCATCAGTATTTCTCTCCTTTTCCCTTCCTCTCTCTAAAATCAATAAGAACACATTTCAAAAAATAGCAGGTGGGAGAGGCAGGCTCCCCTGCAGGTCTGGGTCAAGGCCATGGAGTCCTCAGGGGTCTGGCTTTGGAAGGCCTCAGAGAATCCAGACCAGACGTCAGGAGTCTGTGTTCTGAGAAATGGGTGCATTCATTTGCCCTTGATGTTAGTGTCAGACACATTAAATTCGGGGCCCAGGACCTGGGTGCTGCCTGGGCTCGGTTTTAAACCGTTATTTGATGTCGGGCACGTACCTTCAGATTTTCTGTGCCACTCTCCGCTGAGCGGTAAAGGCAACAGGCTGAGGCGAAGCTCTCAGGTCCCTTTCTGCTCCCTCTTTACCTAATCGCGGTGCAATAGAAACCACACATGGTTATTGAGCACGTTGGCATCAGCGAGGCCCTGCCCCTTGCATGGGGAAACCAGTCGGCTGGGTGGGCATCCAGACTGAGGAGCAGCTCACACAGGCTAACACTTCCCTCCCTGCTATGAAAGCTGATCAGAATAAGAGTGGAGGGCTTTGCAGATTTCTCCGCAGGCTGCCGTCCCAGCATCCAGCTTACAAAACACGGTGGTGACTCTAAAACCTAATCTCATAGGTGCATTAAGGAAAAGGACCCCCTGCTCGCTGGAGTAATGATTCCTCGGGGAAAGCTGCCCGACGAGCACCTGACCCTCCCCTTCCCACAGAGAAGCACATTAAAGCCGGGGCCCCCCGCCGAGTGCGCGGCTCCGTGGGCCGCCGGCGCGGGGACGCCGGTGCATCTGCGCTGCGCTGACGTTGCCCACAGTCTGGCCCGAGAGAGGAGGGAAATAAATATCCTCACCACGGGCTCTGTTAGAAGCTGTGCGGTGGTCTCGGCCTGGGCGGGCGGGCCCGGTGGGACGGTCTGCGGAATGGGTCGCCTTCTCCCATCCCTGGGAGACCGGGGAGTGGCGGGAGCCTGTGGTCGGAACGCTGCGTGTCCCGTGTCGTTTCTCGGCAGAGCCGGGCCCGCTGAGGGTCACCCAGGAGTGGGCAGCAGCGGGCCTGTTTGGAAAAGCACTTCCGTCGGTCGCCCTTCCAGGACCTCGGTCTCCGCACGGAGCCCTTGCCCTCTCTGGCTCAGAGGCGATGTCGCTGCACAGGTCTCACTGTTAAATCACAGACCCCCAGAAACGGAATCGCCGCTGGGCTCTCCTGGACCCTGATGCTGCTTCATGTGAGAGACAGGGTTCCCTGGCCCAGGGTTTTCACCTTGATTCCCATCCAAGGTCTCTCCAAGGTCACTGGGCACGGGAATCCAGGCCCTTGAACCCAGCTCTGGGGAACCTGGACAGAGCTGAGGCCCTTGAGGCCCTCCCTGAGCATCACAGGTGACACCCTCCTGCACTGCTCTCAGGAGGGGCTTTGGTTGCCACCTAACTTTTAGGCCACCAGGAGCCTCACTACTCAGCATGTGGTCCAGGGCCAGCCTCCACCCGCCAGGAGGTTTGTTAAAAGACGGGACCTCAGGCCCCACCCAGGGCCTGTGGAATCAGACCTCGGATTTTAACAAGATCACCAGGTGATTCCCATGCACGTTAAAGTTGGGGGAGCCCTGGCCGGTGTGGCTCAGTGGTTAGGGCATCACCCTGCATACCAAAGGGTCTGGGGTTCGATTCCCAGTCAAGGGCATGTACCTGGGTTGCAGGTTCGATCCCTGGCCCCGGTCGGGGCACTTGTGGGAAGCAGCCAATCGACGTGTCTCTCACATCGATGTTTCTCTCTCTTTCCCCTTCTACTGTCTCTGAAAAGCAGTGGAAAAAATATCCTCAGGTGAGGACTGACCAAAAAAAAAAGCAAAGAGCAGGAAGAAAGCCCGTGATTCTGATTCTGAGATACGTCATTGTTACGGGTCTTACGGAAACTCGCTGTCACTACCATCAGCTGCTTTTACGCAGAACCGTCGCCGTTAGGGTTTGATCCACTCGCGGGCGTCAGACGCGGGGGCCCCGTCGCAGTGTCTGCGGAGCCCGTGTGGTGTGTGTGCTGCTTTGTTTGCATCGAGTTCCCTCTCGATCCTCGAGGTAAATCCGTAAGAAATAGGGCCTGTGCCCCATAGATAAGGAAATGAAAGGCCACGCTCCTCAGAGGCAGGGCCAGGAGCCCCTCGCCTAGAGCATGCTCCTTTTTTCGGATCCAGGAGCAAACATCCCAGATTGAGTACATGTGAGTTTCTTCAGAGGGGTGCGCTGGCGTTATTTACGGTTTTTAAAGCACCCCGTGATTCTGATATGCAGCCAGGGTGGTAGCCTCGTGCTTCTGAATTACAAAACCAAGTAGGTCTTGTCCCAGCAAAACCCGTCTCTCCACGGTCAGCCCCAGAGTCCCAGGAATTTGGTTTGATCTGGACACATCCCCGAACGTTACCACCTTCAGAGACTCAGCCCTGCTTCCCGCCGTGGGGCTATTTCAGGCAGACCCTTTGGTATTAGCTGCAGGGCAGAGGGAAAGGAAGCGTGAAACCAGGGCACCACCCGTATGTAGGTCCTGGGCCAGTTAGGTAACGGCCGCGAGCCCCCCTGTTTCTGCCTCCCCACACCCTCGGAGCTCCCAGCATCGAGCTGTCCCCTCTGGGTCAGGTCACTCAGAGCTTCCTTAGCCCAGAGGATGCTGGCAGGCCCCTGGGCCAGGACTCACCTCACGCCACAGTGAGTCTCTGTGTCCAGGACAGTCTCAAGACATCTGAGTGCTGGTCAGCCTGCCAGCTCTGCCTGGCTCCCCACATCCCACCTAATTCCCACCCCCTGCCCCAAAGTGTCCCCCATGCGGACCAAGTGCCCCCTGTCCACACACCAGGTGTCCTTTCTCCCGGCATTAAACCTAAGACAGCCTCGTGTGCTGCTCCTTGATTCTACATGGTCCTTGGAAAGGTACAAACCTGGGCTCTTCTCTGAAACGCAACGAGCCTCCCCCTTTCCTCTGTCCCCACGTTGCCGGTCAGAGGAGGCTGGCTGGGTAGTCAGCTCAGAGCAGCGAACCCGTGTGGACGATGGCGGTTTTGTCCACAGTGATCAGGGACCACTTATTGTAAACTGTCCCACCCAAGCAGCACGGTGGGGTGTTTCCTGCTGGCAGGGGGACCCTGGGGATATTTCTCCTCCCCACACTTACAACAGGCTCCTGTTCCCTCGGCCACGAGGTCGTTTAGCTCGAAGAAAGAACCGACTAAGGACGCGACAGCGAAGCGCAAGGCCTTGGGCGGCCAGCACGGCCTGCTCCTCCCGTGGGCCGGGACAGGGGGACTTGCGGGGCCTTTCTGATGTCTGTTATCTCCACAGCGGTTAAGTGTGTTTCCTGAACCTACTGACCCCACGTCCTGCCCTTGCATCTCCCTGCCGGCTCTTTTTAAAACAACGTGCGTGTTTCGTAGCTACACTTCGAGTGC